TCCTTTGGCCTTCAGGACAAGAAGAGTTCTCTCCGCAAAGGGACAGAACCTCATGCTGTAGACTCGGATGATTCCATCTGGTACAGGCCCAGGGGGAGAGCTTCCTGCAAGAGTATTCGATAGGCCAATTATTATTCTGGAAAGAACCCTATCAGTCACTCACACTTCATAGCTCTCCTTTGGAGAGGGGACCCCAAAATAATATTTTGTCTTTGCGGTATCTCTCATACACATCCTCTTCTCTCCAGCCACACTATTGCTACTGTGGTCCAGACCTTCATTGCCTCAATCCTGGTCTATTACAGGAGCCTGCTTCTTGGTCTCTTTGCCTCAAGTCTCTCCCCACTCAAATGCCCAAGAGATCTTCAAAAAGCACAGGTCTGACCATGTCACCCCCCTATTCACTACACTCCAGTGGCTTCCTGTTATCTCCAGGATCAAACACAAAACCTTGCTCTTAAAGCCCTTCACAACTGGGTCTCTTCCTCTCTAGTCTTATATCCCTCTTATACTGTAAGATCCAGTGACACTGACCTCGCTGTTCCTCCAAAAGGACATTTCGTCTCCAGTCTCCATCACCTTACTCCACATCTTTTCATTGCCTGTCTCCTATTCAGGCCAAATTCTTCCCTCTGCCAGAAGGCTCTCCTAGTTCTCTTCCCTTCCTCCTCATCCCCACTGCCTTCCCACCAAGAGTTACGCTGTATATAAATTCTATGTAGAGAGTTGTGTTTGCATGTTGTCTCCCTTCTTACATGTGAACTCCTGGAGGGCAGAGACTGTTTTTGCTTTTCTTTGGATCCCCAGGGCTTAGAACAGTGCCTCACACAAGTAGTAAATGCCCTGAGTTTGGCATAACAGCAATCCTTTGTGCTCACCCTCTGGATGATCTCAGCCACAGCAAAATCCCAGAATCGTTTCTGGTCTTGAAACTCTGCTATGAATCAAACTTGTCCCATTGGTGCTGGTACCCTTCATTGTCAGAGCTACAGCTAACTTCGTATCTATAGACAGAAGTATTGTTATCTTCCCATGCTGCTTTCGGTACCACTCACTAGGAGCGGGGCTCCAGCACATGAGTCCTTTCTGGCAAGCTATTTTCTTCACCTAGAAAGTAAACTTATTTAAAATAACCCTCCTGTCTCTAGCGTGCTTTGTTCAGCTCTGGCCCTGCCACAGGTTAGAGGCCAGTTCCAACCAGTGGACAAAAGTATGCAGAATTTGGAGTTTGGTCTTGGGTTTGAATCCCGTCACTGATACTACCTGGGAGACTTTGGGCAAATGACTGAGCTTCACTGTGCCTTGGCTTCCTCTCTGTCAAATGTGAGGGTTGGACTAGATTGTCTTTGAGTTTCCTTCTGGATCTAGAGTTATTAGCCTTAGGACTGGAGCAGGGGACTGTGCTGGGACCCATCATCCCTGCTCTCCTCCATCACACCCAGAAACACAGGTGCTCTGCCCTCCCTTCATGGGAAAGTGATCAGACAAAGGCTTTTTCTAGTGGCTTCTGACAACATGCCATTCCCCAGGCAGGCCTTTGCTGAGGACTCACCTTTGCCCAGGCTCCTACTTGATCCTTGGGACATTATTCCTCGCTCTGAACTTCTTTCCCGAAGGTCCCTGGCTCTACAGCTTTCTCTGGAAGGAATTGCCTGGTAGGCTGCTCTTTCACCATCCCCCAAAGTCAACAGATGGGCCGGGTTTTAGATTCAGATGGGGGTGGGGAGAGAGGAACAGAGGGAGGAGAGAGGAAGGGGGCGGGAAGGAGGAGGAGGAGCAGGAGCAGGAGGAGGGAGGCAGAAAGAGAAGTGCTTACTACGTTTGTGGATAACAGTATCTGTGATTTCATGAGTATAGGAAATTTCCAGATGAAAACACTCTCTTGCTATGCAGTCGGACATCTTCTATGCAACTTATGTCTTAAACTGCCTAGAGCACTGAGAGATTAAGTGACTTGCCAAGGTCATACAACTACTATGTATCTAAGGCAAGACTAGCTTTCCTAACTATAAATGTCAGCTCTAAGTCACAGTGTCCATGTTGCCTCTCATTTACAAACTATAATATATACAGCTATGTGCTGCCTTATACTTTACAAAGTGATTTCTCTTAATGTTTTCCCCTTTTTAGTGTGAACTTAACATGATTATTTCAATATACAAAGAACAGAAAAGAGGATTGCATATGAAACTGTGATCTTCTGTTACCTAGTTTGTTTTTAAAGGCACATTAAATTAAACAAAACTTCTCTGCTTGTCTGAGTCCCCTTCTAAACTCCCTTCTGCTCTCTTTTGTGTATTTTAGATGTTTTAATGATGTTCTTTTTTTCTTCCTTTCTCCTTTCCTCCCTTCTTTCTTTCTTTCTCTGTCCTTTCCTTCCCTGTCTCTTCCTCCCTTTTTTGTTCCTTTCTTTCTTCCCCCCTCTCTCTTTCCTATCTTCCTTCCTCCCTCTCCTTTTTTCTTTTCTTACTTCCCTCTTTCCCTTTCTCCCTCATTCATGTCTTTTTTTCTTTTTCTTTCTTTTCCATCACTATCATTACTCACCTACTAACCACCTCCAACTGCAACTCCACCACCAGATATTAGCCCTTCCTTGCAACAAGTATAATCAAGCAAAATGGGATGGTGTATAAAAAGGTATGTCTCATTTTGAATCCACAGGTGGCTTCTTCACAATGGTAAGAAGTAGGGAAGCAATTTGCAGTGGAACAAGAGCTGAATTTGGAGTCTGGGGATTGGTGGCAGCTCTGGTTCTACTACTTACTCCTTGATGAGCTCAAGTCACTTAGCTTTGTTGTTTCTCAGTTTCCTTATCTGTAAAATGAAAGGGTTGGACTAAAGGAGGAGTGCTTAGCTTGAGATCCACGGACCGCCCCCCCCCCCCCATGGTTTACAGGTCTATGGATAGATTTCTATGAGTCTGTGAATTTGGTTGGAGAAAAAAATTACACCTGTATTTTCACTAGGCTACAACTGAAATTTAACGTTTGCTAAATTACTTTAATACCTGGCTCTGAGAAATAGTCTCTAGAGTTTACTAGACTGTGACCAAATGGACTTCAGGACACAAAGGGAAAAACAGAACCTTTGGACTATGCTTCCAGGAGTAAATAAATGATTGAGGCTATGAAGTACCATCATCCCCATTCGACAAGAATCATGATGACTTGTCCAAGGCCTCAAAGCGGTGGTCCTTTGAGGACCTTTGACTCTAAGCACAGCTCTCTTTCTCTTGCCATTCTGCATCTTCTGATCTGAGGTTCAGTGTTCCTTACATTCTACCATAAAGCTGCTTACTTGCTCGATTAAGACAATCCATAACTTTAACATTTAAATGGCTCCCTAACGCAAACATATTGTCCCCTTTCTGTAAGATACTGCTGCATGTATAGTACAGCCCCAGTTCATTCTCATATGCCCAAAGGCACTATTAGTTGCTGAGAGGCGGGGAGACAGAGGGGAGGAGAATTCTGCAAAAGGCAAAAAAAAGGGGAAGGTGTGGAGGGTGGATAGGTGGGTAAAAGAAGAGCTGCGTGCTCTCAAGCATAAGCAAATTCAAAATTGGGGGAGGGGTGGCTCTTTTCACAAAGAGTCCATCCACCCAAGCGTCTTAACCAATCAAATTCCTGGGGACTTCCTTAGGACCTAACTACCATAGTCTCCATAGAATGCTAAAGTCAAAGATATGAGAAACTGGGGGTGGGGTGAAGAATTCAGAGAGTCAAAAGCAAGACCAGGGGCCAGGAAGTGCTAGAAGAAGAGGACAGGGAGTGTGGAGAAGGGATGAGAATCTCGGAGCTCGGAACTGGAGTATGGGATTGTCTCATTTCGGGAAGAACTTGCAGACATTAGTGGGGAGGAGCCGGGGCGGGAGGTGAAGGGAGCTGCAGCCGAGATCTCAGGGCTTGCGCTGGACTTTTGAGGGTAGCAGTGACCCTGGAGAATTTGGAGAAAGAATTCTCCCTAGGAAAAGACAATTACAAATAGATCTTTTCCTTATCATCACCTCTGTTCCTGGTCCCTCTTCCCTACTTCTCTGGGACAATTCATGGCCAGAGTGACCACAACTTATGTGTGCTGTCAGTGAGATAACTTGAGTGCTGAAAAGCTTTTCCGTTTTCCTGCCCGAGAGGGTGTCTTAACAGCAAACCCAGGAGTCGCTGCGAGCTCAGCAAGCTTGAAGATATTTTCCGCTCCACACCAAGGCAGTGTTTTGATTGACTGCCCTCTTGACTTTTCAGCGCGTTAGTCCTTTCTGGATTCTCCCCCTCCTTTCTCTACTGGTTTGCGCATGTGCAATTGACCCAATCGGCCCATGGCGAGAGATTGTTTTAACTCCTCTTGCCTCAACTCACCACGCTCCTCTTAACACACCCGCTAAGATCCAGTCAAATTGGGCTACCTGCAGCTTTTCCCAAAACCCATTCACGACCTGAGTGCTTAATGCCTGGAACTCACACCTCATACCGCTCTGTCTCCTTCCTGGCCCCCACCTTCAATCTTCTCTGCTCTTTAACTCTATCTCCCCCGTCAATTGGCTGAGATGTCCAGGTATTTTCCCCATTAGTTTGGGTTTCCCAAAGCCCCTTCCTGTTCTTTATAGTAAGTGGAAACAGAGTTTGTGCCCATTAAGCAGGGAATGGCTGAATAATTTGGGAAAGGGCATACTGCTAGGCATAAGAAACGAACAATATGAAGAATTCAGGGAGAGGTGCTTTTTCTCAAATACTTGTTCTTTGCCTTTTTAGCCCTGTTATTCCTTGTGACTCAGACTTCTCTCTGACCCCTATTATTCCTCGTGACCCTGCCTTCTCCTTGATCATTCATTCTTGCCCTCCCCTTTGACTCCTGATGTTTGATTTTCCACCCGTCCCCCTACTGTGACGTTCGCCCCAGTGACTGGACGAATATAGGCACCAGGGTTACTGTCTCTTGGATACTAAAGCAAACAGTCGGCATCGCGTCTGCTGGTAGCGAAGGGAGAAGCGGTTGATGGCTGCATTTTTGTAAAAGGAGATTCACGATTCCATGAAGTTCTCTTTTGTTCTGAACACCTCCAGCTACGATGAGTGGCAAAGACAAAGAGACATCAGACAACAAGCTGAGCGCAATCCTGTCTGTGAGGTGCTCTGACTTGCCTCCCGCCTTCTTCGAACTCCATTATCGCTTGTGACGCTTTTTCTCCTGCAAAAATTATTACCTTGTCTTTTGACTTCTGTTGCACCCTATGACTCTGCCTTTTCACTGCATTATTACCCTTTCATCACTGATTTTTCGTCTGAGATGCTCATCTTAGTCTTCTATAGATCTCTACTCTCTTTTGCTGACTTCCACTCCCTGATTAACTGTCACCTGGGAGGCTTGGCTCTACTCTTGTTCCCCCCACCTGAAATTATGCAAGTAAATAGACTCAGTACAAGATGGCTTTTTAAAATGTCTCCATTTACCCCATTACACGTATTTTCAGTGTACCCAACTCTACTTCATACATACCTGATTTTTTTTTCCACCCAGGTTTTCACTTGCTCCTTACTTGCTCGATTAAGACAATCCATAACTTTAACATTTAAATGGCTCCCTACCGCAAACATACTGTCCCCTTTCTATAAGATATTGCTGCATGTGTAGTCCAGCCCCAGTTCATTCTCATATGAAGCTCCTCATTCCTTTCTTTCTGCGAAGTCTTGTTTCACTTGTACCATGTTTAACTTTTCATACTACTTAAGTCAGCAAAGAATCATTCTTCTATCTGCTAACATACACATCTTCACCATTATCGTTATTTAAAATATATATATATATATATACATATATATCTGTTTTTGAAAGTACACTATAAAAGAGGGTGAATGGCTGCATGATACTTTATAGTTAGAACAAAACTTTCTTCCGGTTCTTTTCGTCTCTAAATACACATGCTTCCATCAGTCCTTAGTTTCTCCCAGTAGTGGCCAGAGAGGAATTAAGTAAAATAAATTTATTTATTGTCAAGGTCCATCTTTAAAGATTTGTGTTTAAAATTCTGTAATTCATGACACAATCTGGATAGACAAAATACTTTGGGAGATTTTTTTAAAGTCAGTAATATATCATTAGGGGAGGGAAATGGCATCACTTTAAGATTTTTTTGATGATTCTTTTGTTTTCTTTCTTTAAAAATGGCTCAGTCTGTGTAATTATTAATGGTAATGTATCCTTTCCCAAAGATGGGTGCAGGGATTCCCTGTGAAGAATATTGCTTTTATCAACAGCACCACAATTTGCTACCCTTGTGGCAATTTTTTAATTTTTGTGAATATGGAAAAAAAGAGAAGGACTGTTCTACAGTGTATGAATGGAAAAGTGGGTGCTATGGCAACTAATATTCCTTATGAAGTGGTGGCTTTTTCAGACCAGAAGCTTAAACCCTCCATCTACATATACAACTTCCCTTCACTGACCAAAAGGGCCAAATTAAAAGGTAATCTATGAGAATTACTCATTCTGGAATTGAAAAAAAAAAAAAGTATCATAACAACCTAACAACTTAAGCTATTCTTTTTGAAGAAATGAAAACTTTCAGAAATATATCCTTGGAGAGAAGATCCAGACATTAAGAATTGGATTAATTAATGAACTGGAGAAGTCAGTCTTATGTTCAGTTGGAATGTCTTTTTCAAAGTGGTGATAATTGGTTATGATTTATTGAAAATGTAGTTGGATTCCTATTTGTGCAGCTATCCAAAATGACTGATAAAAATAATTGGGTGAAGTCATACAGCATAAAAATGACTCACACATACAAATAGCCCTTCTACCTTCTTTCTCTTTGAAAAAAAGCACTTAAGTCTCAAAGGGGTTCAGGGACTAAAGGTCTTGGAGTTACTATTAGTACCATATAGTTAAGATACAATATATCTACATATGCATGTAGCTATGTAGATGGATATATTTACATATCTATCTATGTAACTAACTAATAAAGTTCAGATACAAGGAGGTTTTAGAGGCCTAGCTTGGGAACCTAACCATAACTTAGGACATTGTTTCTATGGAAAAAATTCATTCCTTACAATTGGCTTATAAAGAAACTTGGAACACAATATATTCTTAAGTTATGACATACCTTATACTGTACTCATCTTTAAATGAACCAACTATATATAATTTGGCAATATGGCAAGACACTTTTTCAAGCATTTGAGAGCTCATAAGTCTTTTTCAACTACTAATTAAGATTGAGATTTGTCTTTAAAATAGCAAAAATCCATTTGGCACAAATAATATGTTATGAACTAGTAGTAAAATTTGTATCACTTTGTTTGAAAAACTAGATAATTGTTTATTCACCTAAAGTCAAAACATATGATTTTCAGGTTCAAAGACTTGTTTCAGGATACTACCACAAAACAACACTGTTATTTTTTTCAGATGGAGTAAAACTAAAATTTATCATACTTGTCCATGGCAAATGGTCTCCTCATCCATTTATATTCAAAAGTTTCTAAGTCTTTAAAATACAAGAAGAATTGGTTCTATAGAGGATTTGTGTTATTAATATGTAGGTCTTCTATTTCATTTATGAGGCAGACATTTTTTAACTGGGAAAATCATCTAAAATATGCTTTGAATTTATTGTTCAAAGCTTTAGCTTTTCATAAAATACTCTAGATCAGAGTAAGAATTTGAGGACCTTGCTTTATGAAAACTTTATTGTGTTGAGATATCAAAATATCCACCAAATATGAAAGTTTCAGGAGTAAATCTGTATTATAAAATTTGATTAACCCTGTTTGAGGCAGGTATGGTACAGTGTGGGAAAAAAAGCCCTTGTTCTGAAGTCAGAGAACCTGGGGTCAAACTCAACCTCTGGTTCTTCCATCTTCTGAGACCTTAAAAAAGTTATTTACCCCTAGGCATTTTTCCTCATCTGTAATGTGAAGGATTTGGAAGAGAAGGCTTCTGAGGTCCCTTCCAGCTTTACATCTGTGATCCTATAGGATAGGCTATCCTCAGTTAGACAGAGGGAAAAAACTTAAAGCACTGCTGGGGAACTTTTCTTCTTATTGATGATTTATGGTCCCTGGGCCTCTAACACAGACACATTCTAAAAGAGTGGGAATGGACCCAAAGGTTTCATCAAGAATACATCATTAACCTTGTAACACTGATCCCTCAGAGTCAACTCTCTTTGGCATTTCCTGTGTCCAAGACAGGGGCAACCTGACAGTATGCAGAACACAAGAGACTCTCTCCGAAGAGACTCCCTCCTGCCCCCACCCAGGCATACAGTAGGAGGAACAACACTCGAAGACCTAAAAGAAAAGAACCCCAGAATACTTGACCCAATTGGCTTCATTTCTGTGCTGTAGAGGAAGAGACCGGTGTTTTCTCCAAGCTTTATAAGTTACCATATGGCAGCAGTGGGGCCTAATTTTTTCCTGCTTTACATTTGCAGGCTGCAGGACAGAGAGAGAGAGAGAGAGAGAGAGAGAGAGAGAGAGAGAAAGGTTTTTTTTTTTTCTCCTTTCACTGAAATGGCTGCCTTCCTGTACCCATAGTTCAATTGTGCCACCTTCCTTGCTATGCTAAATGGTTACTAACTTAAGAAAAAGTCTTATAGTTTCACTAAGTTTCCCTTTCTCTTTTCTTCTTTACCTCATACCATTCAGAATCTTCCCCACTATCTCCTTCACTCCAGTCGACACCCTTCTATATGTACTCTCAATCCCATCCCCTCCCAATTTCTTCAGTTGATTGCATCCATTATCATTCCCACACTGTCTTATCTTCAAGATCTTCCTATCTCCTGACTCCCCCTACCTAAAAGCCACCCATGTTTCCTCTGTCTTTAAACAAAGCAAAACAAAACACATACCTCACTTGTTCCTGCCATTCTCACTAGCTATCTCCCTTTATAGTAGTAACTCCCCTTTGTGGCTGAATTGCTTTATAAAGTCATTTACATTCAGTATGTCCCCTTCCTCTCCTCTCATCCTTTTCTAAACACTGCAACCAAAGCTCCCCTCTCCAGAGTTGCTAGTGATCTCTTATTTGACAAGTCTAATGGTCTTTTCTTAATCCTACAACTTCTACATTAAGTTTAGAAAGCTATTTTTAATTTTTATATTAAAATTTCATGTGTTAAATGATTCAATAGACAAATTTAAAATATATCTAATATGTGAATGTATATAGACATACAGTATATACACATTATAAACATATATATCTATATGTTTTTCTCTGAGATTGTGGTGAGAGTGGAAAAGAGAGACAGAGCCAGATACATGTATGTAAAGTGAGAGGATAATGAGAATAGATCAAGATATACATAGCCACAAAAAGACAGTGACTGTAAACCACAGAAATCCTGAGAATGAATGATATATAGAGACACAGACATTCATAATTATTTCCATCCTATGACATTTCAGGGTATTGCTGATATAAGATTTTTTTTTTATTAAATTCAGGTATTTTTACAGGTAAAGGCATCAATGGGCATCTTAGATTTGACCTAAAAGGAATCTTAGAAACTTTCTAATCCAACACTCTTCACTACCACTACCTCATGTTACATGTGAGGAAACTAAGAATCAAGAGTTTTAGTGATTTCCTCTTGTTCGCACAGCTAATAAGTGTCAAAAGTGGAATTTGAATTCTGGACTCCATGTACAACTTTGTAATCACTATTCTATGCTGTCTCTTAACTTTTTCGTATACATCCTGTAGTTATTAGGAAACTAAGCTGAAGGCTCTAAATATGACCTGAGAGGACTTGTGGGTTTTATAACCCTTATCTGAAAGTGCCAAAGGAAGTAAGTTATGGTAACTATTTAAATAAAGCAAATGTAAATTCAAGATCATTAGAAGAAATTTCCCAATGATTTTTTGTGAATAGTGTTCCAAATTGGTGAAAATTTGCCATTTGAAATCATCCTGGGAAATATATTTTATAAGGATTAGCTCTCCACAGAGAACTAGAGAAGGTAACAATATTTCTTTTATTTTATCGCTAGAGTCTGTTTTTTAAAAGTAACTTCTAACATTTTTACTCCAAGTTATTTCTGAGAAAGGGGAAAAATGTAAGTAAAACACAATATGAGAGCATTGCATATGGGAAAAGAAAATTACAATTCAAATTAGAAAAAGGGAAATGAACTCTATAGAATGCTTGATCTGAAGACATACCTAACATGGATCTGATTTTCTGCATTAGGGAATGCTCAGTTGGACTACACTTTACTTGAATTTAGTTACTCTGGAATATACCTGGCTAGTTACTCTGCAATTCCAGAACACGAAGTAACACTTTGGTAAGTATCCACATCTAGCACATTTTTGTTTTACTTGGAGAAAATAAACAGTCTTAATGTTTTTCATTGGTGGTTTAAGAAACATATTTCCTAACTTGATAAAGGAGAGATAACAAAACTTAATTATTCATGAGAATTTAAACTATCTTCAGAGAATATGATAATCTAGGTTTTAAAAAACCTAATACAAGGACCCCTTAAAGGACAAAGTTTTTAGATAGATTTTTTTAAATATTTAATTTAATATGTTGTCATTGAAAGGAACATGGGAGATAGCAGAAGTATCACAAAGCATGAGGAAAATACCAAAGTTTGTATTTTAAATTTGGGACTAATATCATAATTACTAACAAATATTAAGCTATTAAGTACAATATATTATGTTAAACTCTGGATATAATAAATAAGACATATCTGACTCCAAAGAGCTTAAAGTCTAGAGGAGAGATAGAAGATATGGATTGATAGATATAGATACATACATATACACAAACACACACAAATATATATATTATATATGTAAAAAGATGTAGATCTTGAACTCCAAAGTTCTTTCATTGTTTTCTGTAATAGCAATGGTCTAACAATATTATCCAGTTTGTCAACAAGGTTTAAGCAATTACTATGTAGCAGATGTTCTGCCTAGTCTTGAAGATTCAAACAAAAGAAAAAGTTCCTGTCCTCCAGGAGCTTGCATTCTAGTGGAAGAGAAATGTAAACTAATTACACATGTGCAAGGAAGGCAGTTGAGGCTCTTAGAAAGGCCTCTTGTAGAAGGTGGAATTTGAAGCCAGAGAAACTTAAGAGGTGGAAATGAGGGTCCAGAACATGCAGGATGAGGTGGGTGTGTGTGTGTGTGTGTGTGGGTGTGTATGTGTGTGTGTGTGTGTGTGTGCAGAGATCAAGTTTCTATTGGAGGAGCTACAAGTAGATGGAAGAGTCAAAGAGGAAATGACATGTAAGAAGATTGGGATGGTAGGAAGAAGTCAAGTTATGAACCTTTAAGTGCCAAACAAAGGGATTTATATTTTATTCTGGAGGTAAGAGGCAAATACTGAAGCTCACTGAGGATATGTGTGTGTGAGTGTGTGTGTGTGTGTGACATGGTAGCCAAACTTTTACTTTAAAAACAGCAGCTGAGTGAAGGATGGATTAGAGTTAAGAGAGACTAGAAGCAGGGAGAACAATTAAAAGGCTATTGCAATAGTCTAGGCAAGAAGTGATGAGAGTTTGAACTATGATTGTGGCTGTGTGAGTAGAGGGAATATACCAAAGATTGTGGAAGTAGAAACAACTAGATTTGGCAATAGAATGGAAATGTGGGCTAAACAAGTTAAAAGAGTTGAGGACGATACCAAAGTTGTAAACTTGGGTGCCATCATCAGGAAGGCCATAGAACTCTCCCTTGCAATAGAGAAGCTTGTAAGAGAGGGCAGGGAATTGAATATATGAGTTGTGTTTTGTTCATATTGAGTTAAAGATGCCTACAGCATATCCAGTTCAAGATGTCAAAAGGTAGCTGATGAGACTGGAGCACAGGAGACAGTGAAGTTGGGTGTACAAATCTGGGAATCAGCTGCATAAAGAAGATAACTCAACCACCGACATCTCCATCTCTGGGCTTCTCTGGCTTCCTTCAAGCCTCAGCTAAATTCCCAATCTTCTGCAAGAAACCTTTCCCAGTCTTCCTTAATATTAATTCTTTCCCTCTGAAATTATCTCTGAATTATCCTGAATATATTTTGTTTGTACTTAGTTGTTTGCATGTTGTCTTCCCACACCCATTCAACTATAAACTAGTGGAAAGGAACTGTTTTTACTTTTCCTAGTATCCCCAGTGCTTAGTATGGTGCCTGGCACATAATAGACACTTAATAAATGTTTGTTGACTTGAATCTATGGGGATTGATAAGGGCACCAAATGAAATAAATAGATAGTATGGAGAGAGAAGACGACTCAGGATGGAGCTTTGAGGAATACCTATATTTGTGGTTGTAACACTGATAAAGCAGAAGTGGCTAAGGAGACAGACAGGAGAACCAGGAAAGAAGAGTGTTCCCCAAACCCAGAGATGAGACAGTATCTGAGAAGAGAAAGAAGGTCAAATGTTGCAGAGAGGCCAATAAGTTTGAGAATTGAGAAAAGCTCGTTAGGCTTGTCAAATAAGAGATCACTAGCAACTCTGGAGAGGGAAGCTTTACTTGCCGTGTTTAGAAAAATATGAGTGGAGAGGAAGGGGACATACTGAATGTAAATGACTTTATAAAGCAGGTTAGCCACCAAGGGGAGTTAAGATAAAGGGGGATAGCTAGTGAGAATGGTAGGAACAAGTGAGGTATGTGTTTTGTTTTGTGTAAAGACAGAGGAAACATGGGAGTCTTCTAGGTAGGGGAAGCCAGGAGATAGGAAGATCCTGAAGATAAGACAGAGTGGGGATGACAGTGGGTGCAATCAACTGGAGAAATTGGGAGGTAATGGGATTGAGGGTACATATAGCAGGGTGTAGACTGCAGAGAAGGAGATAGTGGGAAAGATTCTGAATGATGTGAGATAAAGAAAAAAAGAGAAAGGGAAACTATTAGTGAATGGCCTCAATTTTTTCTGTGAAATATGAGGTGAAGTCCTAAGCTTACAGGTAGAAGGAATGGGTGACTTGAGAAGCTGGAGGAGAGATGAGAACTTCTTAAACACTTCTACTCCACGGAGAATCAAATAACAAATTGATGGGGGAGAAGGGAAAAATCTTTATGTTGCTACAGAAAGTGCCCAGTTAAGATTAAATAACACAAATTTATAAGACCAAGTGTCTCAGCCTTCTCCCACACTGAGCAATTTATGGCTCACCAGGTCTCTGCTCCAGCTGACTTTTGGGTGGTCAGAACTGGCCTCAGTTGGATATTGTGCTCTTCCTTCTGGCTTGGTGGACTGCCACACAGCTCCCCACATGTACAATGTATCATCCTAGTGACCTGTCCCACTCATTTCATTGTTTGCTGGACTGGCACCAGCAATTCAAAGCCTGCTTTCTCCGACACTGGTAGTTCAGAGCTATTGGCAGTTCAGAGATTTGTAGCATTGATGCTTTCAGGTTGCAGCCCCCAGTAGGCTTTTACTCCTAAAGGGCTTTGACTAAGCTGATTGTTGAGGCAGGAAGAAATTTCCTCAACCTGAAGCTGGGGTCTCTACTGCATGGAAAGAGGGAGAGTGGGGACCAAGGTATAGGAGTGGGATTTGATGTAAACCTGCGTCTTGTCCTTAGGTCTGCTAGTGCAGCCTTGCTGCTAGTAATGTGGGAATTGGGGGGAAGGGTGCTGAGTCAGTTCAGGGTCAGCGAGCACCAGTTTCTGCATTTCAGGGTTTGTTTGTTTTCTAACTTTCTTTTGGGTCCTTGGTGTCATAGACCATGGAAACAGCTGAAGTTGTTTTATCTTTGGTGCATAATCTCTCTTTTGGAGAGGTCTGAAAAGTAGTAAGGATTGGAGAACATATCTAGTCTATCATCTTATTACTCCTACAACCCTGAAGTCCATTCAATAGCATGTGAACAGGAGCAAAGACAGCAGTTAACACAATTAATTACTAAGGAACAAGCATTACTAGACTGTAAGCACCAATACAATACTGCAGGAAGATTGGTTTATACATCTTTATCACCGATAGAAACTTGTACTTTGTATTCAATAAATATTTATTGACCAAATAATGAATAAATCTATGATAAAAATTCTGGAGAATGAAAGATCATTAGGCATCACAAGTACCTTGTCACAATGGGTAGTCAGTCATATACCCTTTTTGGATTTTTTTTGAGGAGGCTAGGCAATGGGGTTAAGTGACTTTCCCAGGGTCACACAGCTAGTACGTTTCAAGTGTGTGAGGCCGGATTTGAACTCAGGTCCTCCTGACTCCAGGGCCGGTGCTCTATCCACTGTACCACGTAGGTGCCCCCATGTGCCCTTTAAAAAAGAATCTAGACCTATCTAGACCTATTTTCTGCACTGATGCAGATCACATGTATTCATGACACCAAGGCTGGCCTATTAACAGTCCCATGCTGCTTCTCTTTTCACACATATATGCAGTACTTAAACAGACATTTAAAAACAGAAGTATGATTATATCAGTAAATCAGTCTTTTTACTATGACATTTTGGTCTCAGTCTCTGGTATGCTGAATTACCTGTTTGGATTACAAGTATTATTCAGATTCTAATAATGAAAATTAATAGGTATGGATTACTCTGGCATTACATTACCTAATGCATTAAATATATATTATTGTGGTTTACATGTAAAGTAAGATTGGGTATCATATTAAAATATTTGTAAGCTTATTAATGTCATATAATCAGCAATGTCATATGTACACATAATTAAACAATACTTTTATGAGATTTGAATATAATTATGTTTTGCCAGGTGGTGCAATGTTAGAGCACTGGATGTGGAGTGAGAAAAATCTGAATTCAAATCCAGCCTTGGAGACTTATTAGCTATGTGTCCCTGGGCAAGACACTTAACTTCTGTTAGCCTCAGTTTTTTCATCCGTAAAAAGAAAAAAATAATAGCAACTACCTCTCAGGATTGTTGTAAGGATCAAATGATGTAAAAATTGTAAAGTGCTTAGCACAGTAAGCACTATAGTAAGGCACATAATAAGTACTATAGTAAGGCACTAGTAAGCACTATATAAATGTTAGCTATAATAATAATTATTGTTATTTCATAAAATGATTTTTTATTCTTTTAAGGAATTGGGAAACAAAAGTCATTTTGTGTAGAAGATCACAACCAGGTATGGAAGTAAGCCAGATGACGTTTAACCCCATGAACTGGCGCCAACTGTGCCTATCCAATACAAATTTTGTAACTATATGGAATATTGAAAGATGCAATACGGATCATTATTTTAAACCAAAGTAAGTTACATAAAAATAACAAAGGCATTTTTCTGCATCAATTTACAATGACCATTAGTACTGTCAGTGGTTTAAAAATTTTATGCAGTGATGCCTCCCTTTTAAAAGCGTCATGTCCATTGAAACATTTTTTTAAAAAATTATTTACTTTTAACATTTTTTTAAAAAAATGTTGAGTTCTAGATTCTCTCCCTTCCTTTCCCCATTGAGAACGCAAGCAATGATATCAATTACACATGTGAAATCATGCAAAGTATATTTCAATACCAGCCATGATGATAAAAAAGCAAGAAATGAAAAATTATATTTCAATCTGTACTCAGAGCTCATAAGTTTTCTCTCCGAATATGGATAGCTTTTTCATCATGAGTCCTTTGGAATTGTCTTAGATCATTGTATTTTTCAGAGCAGTTATATCTTTTCAATTGATCATTGTTATGGTATTGCTGTTACTATGTACCTGTTCTCGTGGTTCCCCTCACTTTACTTTGCATCAGTTCATATAGGGTTTTTTTTAAAAAATCATCCTAATCACGCTGCTTGTCATTTATGTCTAAATCTTGCATCCATTTTGACCTTACCTTGGTATATGGTGTGAGATATTGGTTTATGCTTAGTTTCTGCCAAACTGCTTTCCAGTTTTCCCAGCAATTTTTGTCAGTCAGTTATTGCCTCGAAGCTTGGATCTTTGGGTTAATCAAACTCTACATTACTATGGTCATTTACTACTGTGTATTGTGTACCTACCCTATTGCACTGACACACCATTCTATTTCTTAGCTAGGACCAGATTATTTTGAAGATTATCATTTTGTAATATAGTTGGAGATCTGGTACCTTCCCTTCACATTTTTTCCCATTGATTCCTTTGACATTCTTGATCTGTTCTTTTTTCTAGCTCCACAAAATAATTCTTGGGTAATTTGATTGATATGACACTAAGAAAATTAATTCTGGTAGAATTGTTATTTTTATTATATTGGCTCAGCCTACCTATAAACAATTACTATTTCTCTAGTTGTTTAGATGTGCCTTTATTTGTGTGAAAAGTATTTTGTATTTGCTTTCATATAGTTCCTGGGTTTGTCTTGATAGGTACACTGCCAACTATTTTATATTGTTTACGGTTATTTTAAATGGAATTTCTTTTTCTAAGTCTTTCAGCTTGGTTTTGTTGGTAATACTTAGAAATGCTGATGATTTATGTGGGTTTATTTTTTATCCTGCAACTTTGCTGAAGTTGTTCATTTTTTCAACAAGTCTTTTAGTTGGTTCTCTAGGATTCTTTAAATATACCAATATATAATCTGCAAATAATGATAGTTTTGTTTCTCCATTGCTTATTTTTATTCCTTCAACTTATTGTCTTATTGCTATAGCTAGCATTTCTAGTACAATATTGAATAGTAATGGATATCCTTGCTTCACCCCTGATCTTGTCAAGAAGGCTTCAAGTTTATCCCTATCACAGATAATGGTTGCTCTTGGTTTTAGATAGATAGTTATCATTTTAAGAAAAGCTTAATTTATTCCTGTGGTTTCTAGTGTTTCTAATAGGAATGCGTGTTGTATTTTGTCAAAAGTTTTTTTTTTTTTTTTGCTTCTATTGAGGTAATTATATGATTGTTGCTTTTGTTATCAATATGGTCAATTATGCTTCTAGTATTCCCAATATTGAATGACTCCTGCATTCTTGGTTTATATACCACCATAGTCATAGTGTATGATCTTTGTGATGTATTGCTGTAATCTCCTTGCTAGTATTTTATTTAAAATTTTTGCATCACTATTCATCAGGGAAATTGGTCTATAGTTTTCTTTCTGGCTTTGCTCTTCCTGGTATAGGTATCAAAGCCATGCTTGTATCACAGAAGGAATTTGGTAGGACTCCTCCTTTACCTATTTTTCCAAATAGTTTATATAATATTGGGAATTAATTGTTCTTTAAATATTTGACAGAATTCACTTGTAAATCTATCTGGTACTAGAGATTTTTTTCTTGGGGAGATCATTTATGGCTTGTTCAATTTCCTTTTCTAAGATAGGGTTATTTAAGCATTCTATTTCCTCTTCTGTTAATTTGGGCAATTTAAACCTTTGTAAATATTCATCCATTTCAGTTAGATTGTCAGATTTATTGGCATAGGATTGGGCATTATAGCTCCAATAATTGCTTTAATTTTATCTGCATTCACTCTTTTAATTTTTGTTACTAGTATTTTGGTTTCCTTCTTTCTTTTTTTTTTAAATCAAATTATCCAATGGTTTATCTATTTTTGGGGTTTTTCTTTTATTTTTTTAATTAATTAATCTATTTTGAATTATCAACAATCACTTCCATAGGCTTTTGAGTTTTAAATTTTTCTCTTCCTCCTTCCCCACTTCCCTCTCCAAGATGGAATGCAATCTGATATAGGCTATACATATACATTTCTATTAAACATATTTTCACATTAGTGATGTTGTAAGTAAAAATTAGAACCAATAGGAGGAACCACCAGAAAGACGAAACAAAATACAACAGAAGAAAAAAAATAGCAAATAGTATGCTTCCATCTGCACTCAAACTCCATAGTTCTTTCTTTGAATGTGGAAAGCATTTTCCATCATGAGGCCTTTGGAGATGTCTTAGATACTTGTATTTCTGAGAAGGGTTAAGTCTATCAAAGCTAGTCATCACACATCATGGCTGTTATTGTATACAATGTTCTCCTGGTTCTGCTCACTTCACTCAACATCAGTCCATACAAGTCTTTCCAGGTTTTTCTGAAATCCGCCTGCTCATCATTTCTTATAGCACAATAGTATTCCATTACATTCATATACCACAACTTGTTCAACCATTCCCCAATTGATGGGCATTCCCTCAATTTCCAATTCTTTGCCACAACAAAAAGAGTTGCTATAAATAGTTTTGTACATGTGGGTCCTTTTCCCATTTGTATGATATCTTTGGGATACAGCCCTAGAGGTGCTATACACATTTTTATAGCCCTTTGGGCTATCTGTTATTATATCTGTTATTTATACTTATATCTATACCCATACCCATATCTATATATCATCATCTATGCCTCTATCTGTGGCTAATCATCATCTATATCAATGTATTTTTATATTATATACATATTGTGAATGTCCAGAGTTGTTTGCATGTTATCATCCCCCATTAGATTATGAGCTCCTTGAAGACAAGAACTATTTTTTTGTTTTTCTTTGTATCCCTAGTCCTTAGAACAGTGCTTGGAACTTAGTAGGTGCTTGATAAATGCTTCATGATTTGACATGATTTATGGGTGACCTTAAAAACCAGGCAGTATAAAATGATCAGAAGTTCTAAAGGAACAGGCACTGCATTGCTGAATTGCTGAGTTCCTACTTGATTTTCTGAATTCATCACCTCCTGAGGAGAGAGCAGAAAGCTCAGAAAGAGGTATTGTATGTAATAGTGCTTTGTAATCTGAAAAATCAGATTGTTGTTTTGATTTGCATTTCTCTAATCAATAACGATTTAGAGCATTTTTTATATGACTATTGATCGCTTTAATATCTTCATCTGAGAACTGCCTGTTCATATACTTTGACCATTTATCAATTGGGGAATGACTTGTATTCTTATAAATTTGACTTAATTCTCTATATATTTTAGAAATGAGGCCCTTATCAGAGAGACTGGTTGTAAAATTTTTTTTTTCCCAATTTTCTACTTTCCTTCTAATCTTGGTTGCATTGGCTTTGTGCAAAAAACTTTTCAATTTAATGTAATCAAAGTTATCCATTTTGCATTTTGTTATGTTCTCTATCTCCTGTTTGGTCATGAATTCTCCTGTTCTCCATAAATCTGATAGGTAAACTATTCCTTGCTCTCCGAGTTTGCTTACAGTATCAACCTTTATATCTAAATAATGAACTCATTTTGACTTTATTTTGGTATATGGTGAGAGAGTTTGATCTATGCTGAGTTTCTGCCATACTCTTTTCCAGTTTTCCCAGCAGTTTTTGTCAAAGAGTGAGTTCTTATCCCAGAAGCTGGGGTCTTTGGATTTATCAAATACTAGATTACTATAGTCATTGGCTACTGTGTCTTGCATACTTAACCTATTCTACTGATCCACCACTCTATTACTCAGCCTGTGCCAAGTAATTTTGATGATTGCTGCTTTATAATGCAACTTAAGATCTGGAATGGCTAGGCCACCTTCCCCTGCATTTCTTATCATTAGTTCCTTTGATATTTTTGGGTTTTTATTTTCATAACAACCAGTTCCTAGTTTTATTTATTAGGTCAATTTTTTTTCAATTTTATTAATCTATTTTGATCTTCAGGATTTCCATTTTGGTCTTTAATTGCTGATTTTTAAATTGTTATTTTTTCTATTTTTAAAAAAATTGCATGCCTAATTCATCACTCAAACATTTCATAAAAGTTTATGTAATTAATTTTTAGCTCATTTTAATAAAAAATTTTATAACATCTTAAACACACAAGAAAAACAACAACATATACAACACATTCATGTGCCTATAAAATCCTTGGTTATTTTCGTATTAATAATGTAATAAAATGTTTCAGTATGGTTCTATGATATTTTTTGGTGCAAAAGTACTCAGTGATATAGTTAATAACATTGCCATTCATAATGCTTTTTCAACTAGTGATTGGGATCAATATTTTGTCCCTCAGTTACAGAAGAAAATCCCCTTTCACAAAAATAAGATGTTACAATTGTTAATGAAATTTGTGGCATTATTTAATAAACCAGAGAACTCTTTATTTGGTTACAATTAAAATATAATAACATTTTCAAATTCAAATACTAATTTAGTATTAGACAAGTCTATTAACTATTCTAGAATAGATACAGTAAGACCAAATGTATCATTAATTTATCCATGGTAAATGAGTATTTATATCTATATTTCATCTATATTTCAAAATATCTAAATCTTTAAAATAAAATGAAAAGTGGTCCAATAGATCATCTGGGTGACTATTTATT